TTTGAACCGATAAGGATTATGAACGAAGTTATTCAAGATTCAATCGATAATAATAATGAATTATGGATACTCTCTCAGGATATGGGAAAGGCTTATGATCGTGTGAACATCTTTCAACTCAGAAAAGCGATGGATAGAATTAAAATTCCTAACGATTTTTCGTCCCTTATTTTAGAGCTTTTTAAAGATAGAAAAAATCAAGTTATCACTGCGTATGGAAAAACTGCACCTTATGATGTTCTTACAGGAATCAATCAAGGAGAAGTTATTTCACCGTTGCTTTGGTATATTTATTACGATCCTCTTTTGGCAGAAATTGACCAACAACAATTGGGATATAATATTTCTTGTATATCAAAATCAGTGGTTCAAGAAGAAGGTGTATTCAATCAACAACATGTTTCCGTTATGGCGTACATGGATGATACTCAATGGATTACTGATGAAAAATCAAAATTGGAAAAGTTGTTATACATTGCTGATACATTTTATCGCCTTAACGATATTCAAATCAACAAAGAAAAGTCTGAGCTTATGATGAGGACTACAACTGAGAAGCGTAGATATTCTCATAATTATAATGACAAAATTTTAATCAAGTTTGGTCGTGAAGAAATTAATATTAAAGCCAAACATCCACACAAACCTATGTGTATCCTGGAAGTATATTTCAATATTAAACATGACGGAAATTATTTGATGTTCAAGATCAAGAATGAAATAGATCATCTAGTTAATCTTATGTACAAAAAGAAGATTACTGATAAACATATTTTATATATATTTAATAGAATTATCGTTCCTAGAGTTGAATACTGGTCGCAAGTTATGGCTTTATCGAAAACTCAAACAGAAGCTTTAATTATTCCTTTTAGAAGGATGTTTAAAAACAAATTAAAATTCGCTCGTTCTGCGCCTAACGCTATACTCGATAATCCATATATATATGGATATAGAGATTTTTACGATAATCAACTTCAATCCAAAATTACAGATTTTTGTATTCAACTTAACGACAATGGTCTATTAGGAAAAGTTACTGAAATTCACTTAAAGTCCTTACAGGATCAATTATGGACATCGCGTCCATTGATAGAAAAACTTCCTTATAATCGTGTTCCGCATACACGAAAAAATAATTATATCCTTAATATGCTTCTATTATGTTACGATAATAATATTTCGTTAGAAAATTTAGATATTAATACTTTTCCAACAATCAAAGGTGGTCAAATTCCTTTAGAAGATGTGGTAGATAATGCATATTATTCTAAACATAGGAAGAGACTTCGTGAAAAAAATATTTTATTTTTAGATCAAATTATTTCGGGTGATAAATCTCGTTTATTATTATGGAAAGAAATACTTATTAAGGCTTATATTCCTGTTTTTTCACAACGGAAAGAAACTAAATGGTATTCTGATATTAGAAATTTAATTACTTCAGATGGTGTTCATTTGAATCATAATATAACACAATTGTTTAGCGCTCGTGTTGACAATGTGGAAGAGCCTCGATCATATAATATTACTAAAAAAATAGATCTTTAATAGCAGTTTATAATTCACAATTTAACTCCGTAGTTATTGGTAAAATTCAAGGAATAGATGAAACACAACGACCTATTATTAAACATTTTCATATTGATATGTCTAAATGTACTGATACACATACTTATATATATCAATGTATGGAATATGGATGTGCTGCTAATGCATCATTATCAACACGATCACCTTGTACATTTTCTGCTGACTGGGAATGTTTAGTACCATTGTTAACAGATTCTCAATTTGCACCTAGTCAACCTACAAACTTAATAGAATTTAATATTTTTAACATTTTTGATTTTGCGAAAAAGAAATATGATATTATACATCGAGCGTTAACGCAAAATCACGTAATTTCTCCACAAATACAAGATAACATAATTTTGGAATTGTTAGATTCTTCAACTTCAAGAAATGACTTATTAACTATCCAACGAACATTAGCTCCTTTTAACAATAATAATTATTATATTTTTGAGTTTTACACTGACGGTTCATTAATAGAATTAGGTACTGAACAATGTAGTATTAGCTGCGCCTTCGCTCAGATTAGTGATTTGTTTGATATACCTCACGTCAAATTTTATTCTACTATTGATAAATGGCCTTCTGCATATAGAGGAGAATTATTAGCTGTTCTTTTAGCATTAAGCGTTGTTCCAAAAAATAGTAAAGTTAGAATTAACACAGATTCGCTTAACATAATTACTCAGTTTGAAAAATTAAAGAAATCAAGGTTTTCTCAAACCTCACGAGAATATTTCAAGGCTAATAATAATTTCTTATGGTCTATTTTATGTAGAATTATATTAACATTGAACTTGCATGTGGAAATGTTTAAGGTAGTTGCTCATGGTGATGATATGGGTAATAATTATGTAGATAATTTGGCGAAACTTGCACATGCTGATCAGGATCGCTATATAGTTTTTCGACAGAACGCTTGTATGATGAAAGTTATTCCTTGTTGGAATGGGATTATTATTGAAAATAAGCTGCGCTCATTTTTGAAAAATATTTGCAACTACAAAGGATTAGAGAAATTTGTTAATTTGAATAGAAATTCTAAATATCGTACATTAGAAGTTGACTGGACATCCACATTTAGTTGTTTAAATTGTGACATAAATAACAATGAAACTTCTGTTTCTTCTTCTAAAATGAAAGCTCAAAAAGTTCACTTGTTAATTGAAGAAATTCCTACAATTGAACAGATGAAGAAATCATTGCTTGATTTATATGATGGTTGGATGTGCCCTATATGTGGTCTACAAGACGAAACCTTTAATCATGTCTGGACATGTAGTGGTCATTATGATATTATTAACAACATTAGAGATAAAACTATTAATCATCTCTTGACTTGGATATTAGAATATAATGATAATATACAAGATTTTAATGCTCTTATGGCACTTGATATATGGGATATATCTTATGATCCTAACGTGTTTACTTTTATTGACTTGATTAAAGGTATTATACCTATGTCTCTTTCAGAATTATTGAATTCCTGGACTACAAAGAAAAATGTTGTCGATGTTTTGGTTCAAATGAGACAGTTTATTTTTAATACGATATTCGAAGAAGTTTGGATTCCAAGGTGTTCGTATTTGAAGGAATTTGAACGTTCTATAGGGTTAACTAAAAAGAAAAAATTAGAATTCAAAAGCGTTCGTTCATTACCTAGTAATAATAGTAGTAATAATAATATTATTCATTATGATTCTTTAGATAGTGTTAGGAATTATATTTATTTTGGTAAAAATATAATAGAATTTTATACTAATCTTACTTCGTAGCGCCATCGTAGATTTTAGTAGTTTGATTTATATAATTTTATAGGGTCAATTTTACTTTTTTCTGCAGGGCGGGCTTCAACTTACCAAGTTTCGGCTAGTGTATGGGAGGTAGTGGGTTAATTAATGAAATGGTTTTTAGGTGTAGTTGGTTATATCTTTAATAGTTTCGTTTTTAATTGCCCCACCGTCGAAGTAGATTCTTCTGATAGTTTAGTTCATTTTTTTATTTTACTTTTTCATTTTTGATATGTTTATAAAATTTGTATTCGCTAACTATTACTGTTCAATAAAAATAAAAATATACGGAATTTGTATACGGAATCTATAGAAACGTACAAAAAATGTGTACAAAACGTATCCTTTCCGTATACATATTTCTTATAGGGTATATATATAAAAATACAAAACGCAAATTTTCTCATTCTAACAAAAACCACTTGACCAAAAGTAAGAATTCTTTTTAATAAAGGCAGGGTCAAAGTAAAGAATATTGCTGCTAATTTGTTCTTGTGTTAATATACGATTTTCAATTGTAAATAAAAAAAACGTGTTAATTGAACTTAGTCAAAATTTATTTAAAAAAAATCTATTAATAATATCACTAAAGTACATAAAATTATATAATAAAATCAAATTATTAATTATGTATTTAATGCATGACCAGGATAAATTCTTTTACGTTTGATAAACCAATAACCAGCCGCGAGAGCAATAAGACTCGTTCCAATGATAGATCCAAGAACTGTTGCTGCAAGTCCACCTTTTGAGATTTGAACGTTATTAGGATCGGTTTTTATAGGAGTTTGACTCGAACCTGTAGGTGATACTCTCCTATTTAAATTTCCATTAAATAAATTATTGATCGAATTTTTTTTAAATTAAAAGAGAAGATTTAAAAATTTTTTTTTTTTTAAAAAAAAAATTCAATATACCCAATAAGATCCCATTTCATCGCACTTCCACAATCAGACTGAATCAAATTATTATTGTTACCTACACTCTTTACACAAAGATTAGATGCTTTATTCTGTTTAAGAAAAAAATAATAGAATCAAACTTAGAAATTGCTTATCATTAATAAAAACAGGTATTAAATATAAAGGTTAAAAAATTTTTACCTTTATCGAACATGAAGTATGATATGGTGCCCAATCAGCAGAATTTGTCTGACTATTACATTTATCACAAACAATACTAAATCTTTGATTTTCAGAACCAGCACTTTTAATATTTTTTTAAAAAAAAGAGTAAATTAAATCAGAATTGATCAAATTGATCGATAAAAATACGACAAATTATAAAAATTATATAAAAAGATTAAAATACAATACTAACTTATAATTTAGTTGAAAAGGAATTACGTTGTTCATTTCAATAACTATTATTTAAATTTAAAAATTTAAAAAGATCACGTTTTAAATATGATTGATTAACGATTATTTTGATTGATTAAAATTAATAAAAATATATATAGTATATATAATATCTTTTTTAATATTATTTATTAAAAAAATATATATATGCATATATATACAGTATATTGTATTTACCAAGTGTTCGATAAAAGTCTTGAAACGGTCGAAACTCATAAGAATCAGATGCAGGTTGTGTTAATTGAAAAATTTCATGAGAAACTGGTTTATCATCACCATTTACTGTATAAATAGCAACAGTCGGTTTCCTGTACAGTTTTTTAAAATTGAATTTAAAAATATTTTTGTTATTTTATAGAAAATGATAAAGTATAGTTTTACAAATTACTGTAACTTACACTCCACCATAATATAGTTGAAATCGATTCTTGGGTTCATCTGATCGACTTATTGAAAAAACATCCTCATTATTGATTTCTGGAGAACATGATAATACAAACGTAGTGAATAAGCTAAATAATAAGAAGGTTTTGTAGAATAATAAAGATGTTAACCAATACATCTTTTGAATTTGGAATATTAAGTGAAGTGTTTATGTTAACAGTTAATGAAATATTATTATTATTATTATTTTTTTTTGAAATGATGGGGTATATTTTTACTGTGAATTAAAAAGTGGATAAATATAAATTATGTTTTCCCGTACAAACGCCCCCCTTTAATACATCGCAATTATCGCAATTCCTGAACCGTTTCCGGAAATACTTGGTTTTTTTTGGTTAGTACCGATAAATATACTTTATTACACTATTTCAGCTAGTATATAATGTTGTTATTATCAATGAAGAACAAAGGGAATAAAGAATAAAAGAATAATTTGTGATCGAGGATAAAACGTTAGAATATGATGTTAAAAATAGTTATCCAATGATTTATGTAACCTCAGGTCTTCTCACTCCGATTAAATGCAGATGTGACGTTAATGATCGCCTATGATCGCCTGATTGCCTGAATGAGAGTTATTTTTATTTCAAAAACTCCGACATATGATCAATTTTCCAAAACAATTTTTTATAGGGTTTACGATTTAGTAATGATAATAAACTTTCTTTTTTAACCGATCTGACCACATGCTGAACTGTCGTGACGATGGGACTGTTTTGACCATATTACTCGCATAAACTTGTTCTACCATTGCCAACTTCGCCAAATTTTCGAGTGAAAATATATAATGACCAAGTGTATTTAACGTCTATCTACCGAAACTAAACGAAAGTCGAAGCATACTCAGCATATTGAATTTAATCGATTACTTCCTATAGATATATTTATAGCAAGCTAAATTAGTGAATTAATTTAGTTGCTTTTTGCATTAGACGGGAATGTGACTCTACTATTCTATTATCATCCATTATTAATTGATCGTCATTAAAATAGTCAAAATCTGATATTGACAGTAAACTTCATCATTTCGTTACTCGAACCGGAATTATCTGTTATATTTGAAACTTATATTTTTTTATTTATTCTCGTTAATATGAAATCATTCTTGAAAATATCAAAAAAGTAATCTTGATTTCAATTATAATTCGCATAAAATTTAAATAAATAGATTATCAGAAGAAATTAATCTTTAAAATATTTGTAAGCCAAAAAAAAAAAAAAAAAAAAATTGCATTATTTCTAATAAAAAATGCTTTTAGAAAAAAAAAACTAAAATAATAAAATATTATTATATAAATTTAATACTAATAAGGACTGGTGCTTTGTCCGCGGCGTGTTTATATGTGATAACCGTTATACTATCCTATAATTTAAATTCATGAATGAGGTTAGATATGAAAAACAAATCGAGTATTTTTCTAAAGATAGTAAAAGTATGATGTAGTTGAACAAAGTAATAAGCCTTTTCTAAAAAAATTTAGATCCAGAAAATTTGAACAACAAATCCAAAGCCTTAATCTACACTATATTTAGATAGTGTAAATACAAATGTTAAAATTGATCCCGTGATCACTCGTGATTGATGTTCTTACTAAATTTTATTATGAATTTGTATATCATTTAATTAAATTTTTTTTAGGCGTTAAAAACTTTTTTTTTTAAAGTTTGGCGGTAAAAAAAATAAATATGACGAAATTTACTATAATAGATAAATTACATACAGTATATGGTAAATATAAATACAAAAAAAAAAAATCCTTATCTATTTCTTCTCTAGTGAATTATCTTACGCGTCTTATTAAAGAAAATCCTTAATTTAAATATTACCTAAATCAAATTTTTTAATCAAACCAAACCGAATTTTTTTTTTTTTGAAATAATATATTTTTCAACTTATATTATAACAGCCACCAGACCAGAAATCGAAAAGATCCCTTAAAAGGTTAGGTTGGTCTTTGAGGAATTCTATGATTCCAATTAAGAATTTGACTTAATCCACGAAACCAATCTTCATAAGGATCCTTTCGACATATTGACAACAAAGGATATGTTGAAGCAGTAACCACAATGGTATCACCAAGAGCAAGTGAAGTACGATTCCTACCATCAAACGAAACCTATAAAAAAAATTATCTTATTATTAAAACCTATAAAATTACAAATATTATTGATAAGTCGTTTTATCGCTTACCCAACCAGAGATTCTACTTGTAAAAGGAACGCTGATGCTTATCTTTTTGAATCCAGGAATAATCATTGGTCTTGCTGTAAGTGTGTGTGGTGCGATTGGAGTAATCAAGATGGAATTTTGATCAGGATGAACAAGAGATCCTCCGGCAGAAAGCTAAATGACATATAGTGTATGTAAATATAAGAGCTTTTTCAAAAATCTAATTAATTTAATTTGAAGAGAAAATTTAACTAAATACCGAATAAGCTGTAGATCCTGTACTTGTTGCTATCAATTAAAAATAAAAAAAAAAATTTCAATAATTCTGGAATTAAAAAAATAAAATAAAATACAAATAATATTAACTTAACTTACCCATTATAAGACCATCAGCCCAAATTGACGTAATTTGACAACCATCCATGCACTTATTAAGAATAATACAATTTTTATTAAATATTATAACTACATAAGTATTATAACTACATAAGTATATATTTATATATGCATACCAATATCATTTCTAACATGTTCCCAGCATCACCACGGTCTATATATAATTCGTTCAACACTTGAAAACTTTCAGATGGCTCAGAATTGAAATCGATATTGTCTATTTCTTTTTTATTATTTCTATAAATTGAACAATTAAGGCGCATTCTGACGTTAATGCGTACACCACCTTCCTCGATAACATTACGTAAAACACGTCGATGATCATCGAAATCAAATAAGGTCAAGAAACCCAAGGAACCGAGGTGAAATGATAACAATGGTGGTACGTCACGCTGAAACATCCATGATGAAAATAAGACCGTCCCGTCTCCTCCAAGGGTAACGATTAAATCAATATTTTCACGTGTCTCATTTGTACTCCAAAAATGAATTCGATTCTTGTAATTTTCATGTTCAGAGATCACGCTCTCATAATCATTCTTAAAATTATGATCAATATAAACGTGAATTTGATGATAAGATTCAATTAACCAAATTGCCACTTCACGCGTAGAATCAATTAACCTATGATCACTAGGTTTTGTGACAATCATTATATGACGTATAATATCAAGTTGAATACCTCGTTCAGCCATATTACGATTTTCATTAAGTGCATGATTGTAACTAATAAGTAAGGAGAGATATATATAATTAAATAACATTTGACTCGGTCATACATTGTAAGAATTATTTATTTACCTTTTGACTAATGCTTTTACACTCAAAGTATCACCACCGTTAATATTTTCCAGCTAATTAAAATTTTTAAAATTTTTAGTTTTAAACAACGAATAATCCGTTTTTTTTAAAAAAAAACTTCATTTACCACATGATCGATGATAACTCCTCGAAAATTAAGTATGTTGTGATTATAATTCGCCATGCTTTTTATGATCTTAATAGAATCAACATCATCAGCATCATCTGGTATTAATGATTACAAATTTTTTAATTTTTTTTAAAAAAAAAATTTAAATCACAAATCACAAATCATGCAGAATTATTAAATCATCTCGAGGGTTGATATATTAGTTACCTTTTTCCCACAAGATCCAGTCGCAATCACGATCTTTCCATTGTATTTTACATTTTTCAGGAACGAAATGTTCAAATTTTTTAATGAATTGATTTTGAATTTCTTCATAATTCAATTTATTTTCTAATAATTAAATAATGATAAAAGTATTAGTTATAACGAGGTATAATATTATACATATATATATTTTTGGTTAAACTCTGTACGATATTATAATAAAAAAAAAATGCTGCGCCACAAACATACTTTCGATTACCACATAAACGGATTCTTCTCGAAAAGTTAACTTTATATCCAATTTTGAATCCACGTCTGACATTTTTTTTTTGTAGAGAATATAAAAAAATATAAAAAAGATTTTTATGAGAAAATTACAAATGATTTTTCCCCTTTTTATTACGTTTATACAAAATGATGTAATCATTCAACCATAGTAAGTTAACTCGTGACGAATTTATAAATATAGAAATTACTTCATTTTTTTTATCGACTTTATTTTATTTTAAACTTGATTTATACAAGACGAATTACAAAAAAAATTGCCAAAAGGCATTAAATCATATATTTGTTTTTTTTAAAAACAATAAAAAATTTTAAACATAATTTATTAAAATAATAAACAATAAGTAATTTTTAAAATAATAAATAATAAGTAAACAATAAATAAATATTTATAAAAAAATGTCTATACTAATCTAGAAAAATCTTTAAAAAGTTTATAACCCAAAATGATATAAACCTCCATTACTAAAACCACTACCAAAACCACCAAAACCACCAAAACCTCTAGAAGTTAACCCGCAACCTCTAGATCCGAAATAAGGATTTCTTCTAAAACCATAACTAGGTGTTCTTGGTCTACTTGGTCTAGCGAAATGTCCAAAGTGATTGAAGTGATTGAAATGATTGAAATGATTGAAGTGATCGAAATGTGTAGGACCATTTAAAAGGCTATTGAATAAATTAACTCTTGGTCTATAATAAGTACGTTGAATATATGGTCTTGATGAAAAAATGAAAATAACGCTTGGATCATCATCGGATTCCTCGTTATTTTCATCGGGGGTATTGGGAGATGCGTTAGCGTTATTCGAAGACTCAGTTGGAGTTTCAGCAGGAGTCACAGGATTTTCTTGATTTTGTTCTTTGTTAACGGAATCAACAGGAGTTAGTAAATCTTCAAATTGTTTTTCAGAATTTTCTTTTGGAAGAGTTGATTCAAATAAAGGATCATCTTTTTCGTCCGTTACTGTGACTCGAGGGTAACTTTTCATTTCAACAGCCGGCTGTTGTTCTTCCGTTTGAACGTCAACAACTTGGTTAATTTCCGTTTCAGTATTTTCGGTATTTTCAATATTTTCAGTATTTTCGGTATTTTCAACATTTTCAACATTTTCATTGTTTTCATTGTTTTCAGTATTTTCAGTTTCGCTAGGATCACCAATATTATAAGCTATAATCTCATCATCTTTTTTGGAAGTAATTTCATCATCACTTATAGTGACGACGGAATCATCTTTTTCTTCAGCGTTCTCCAAAACCCAATCATTATTATCAGAATTTTCAGAAGTATAAATATTAAATTTAACATTTGTACCAAAAGATTCTTGATCTGAAAGGATCTGTTGTAATTCAGTATCAGTTGATAAAGTTATGACATCACCATCTTCATCGATATAAGAAATTGAAAAGGAAGTATCAGATGGTATATTGAATAGATCATGTAATTGAGATTCAAATTGTGACCAAGTTGTATTTGAAGGGATAGTAAATTTACGAGAAGTTTGACCAAAAGTTACTTTGATGCTTGCCATTTTTTTTTGAGAAATTGAAATATATTTGAAAATATTTGAATATATTTTTTTGTTGTTAATCTGGTTGTAATTGATCTTTTAAAAGAAAAATATTAAAAAAATGTAATGATTTATTCATCCAAAAGTTTTCAAGACCCATATTTATAGAGAATTTTTCCTATTATACGGAAATACGGAAATACGGAATACGGAATAAAAAAAAAAATTCGTAAGCTATAAACAATCTAGAAAATAATTTCAATATTTTTAAATTACGAGTAATAACTTGAACGTCATATTAATAAACGTCATACACTCATACCGTCATATTGGACATATTATTTACTGGAACCTTCAAGTACCTTCAACGGGATTCGAGTAACTTTTAATTGAACCGAAGTCCGAAAAAACCAATATTTTTACGGATAAAATTTAACCGATAGTCCGATATATACAAAAAAAAAGGTCATATGAACCTTATTGTACCATATTGGGCGTATTGGTATATCGATTTATTAAAAATTATATGAATATTACGAAAAAGTAATTTTTTTTCTAATATTATTCTTTCTCTTTCTATTTTTTGATTCCTTTTTTTTTTTAAAAAAAAAAAAAATTTCAATTTTTTTTTTCTGTTGAACAAGGTATAACAGGTATTAAAAAGTAGATAAGCCAAATTTGTTTGATTTGATGGTATCATGTATCAATTTACTTTATTCAGTTTGACGATAAAATTTTTATGGTTAATTAAGAACAGAAATCGGGTAACACCACACCTTTGGATGGTTCCATAATAAGTTATTCATAGTATTACAAGTATTACAAGTATTACAGTTTATAAGTGGATTAACATGACACAACATAATTCACCAACTTATTAATTAAAACGAGTTTAGATCCGATGATTATTTAAACCAATTATAAAAATACCGAATTTATTTATTTATTTATTTTATTTTATTTTTTATTTTTATTTTATATTTATTTTATTTATTTATTTATTTTACTTTTCAGAATTTATTGAATTTATTGAAAAAGTATAGTACATGTATTATAAGTAACTTATAATATATATATATATATTCTTTGAGCCGTATTTATAAATTAAATTAACAAGAAATAGCAGGAAAAACAGGAAGTCAAAAAGACAATCAAACCTTATTTATATAAAAGAAAGAATACAAAATGCTTATATAATCGTCAATAAGAAGAGAAATGATAGACTATCAAAAGATAAAAAAATCATTAAAAAAACATGTGAATATAATGATATCCTTTCCCATAATCTCTTATAATCTCTATTATCTAAATAATCTAATAAAATAATCTAGAAGTTTCAAAAAAAGTCAAAATCATGAAAGAAAAAAAAAGTTTCGCGTTTCATCAGGTTACAAAAATATTAAAAATATTGTAATAAATCCGTAATTTATTTCTTTTTTTATCATAAAAGAGAAAAAAAAAAAATTTTTTTTTCAATTATAGTAAAGTTTATAAGTTTATAAAAGTCTAAGTGACGTTGTTGTCGTACGTAATATTGAACGCGAACGAACGAATTTAAAAGAAAGAAAGAAAGTAAGGGGGAATTTTTTTAAAGTTTAAAAATATAGAAGAAAAATTATGCATAGAAGGTTGAAACACATTCGTAGTCACCAGATTTTTGCATATGAAAGAATATTATTAAAGGAAATTTCCTTGTTTTTTTTTTATAAATGAATATTCTTAAGTAATTTATTTAATTAAACCTTTTCTTTTGTTAAAGGAAAAAAATAACCTTTCATGAAACTAAATTTAGATATTAAACTATTGTCATATTTTCGTAACATAGGAACCGAAAAAGATAAGATCATGCAAAATATATGCGTGGAATATCTTTTCTTTACTCATTTTTCTAATAGTAAAAACTTTAATGTCCAAAAAAAGAATTTCTTTTTTTTTTGAAACTAATTTTGTAGATTAAAAGGCCGACAGGAGCTGTATTTTAAATATTAAGTAACCTACCATAGATTAGCATAATATTAATGAAATAATTTTTTTTAAACCAAGGAAATTAATTCTAAACACTAATAAGGTATTTAATATTTAAATCAATTAAAATTAATTGGTTAAAAGAAATTGCTGGAAAATTTGTTGATTAACGTATATATTATATTCAAATGAAAACATGTCAAAATTAAATCATATTATTGGCTGATGATTCTGCATATTGATTATATTGATTTATATATACAAGTATTACTTACAGTATATACAGTAATACAGTCGGTATAAATATCGGGAATATAAATTTTTTTACACCGCAGTCGAACAGGTTAAAATAGATGATCTACGCAGTACTACATAATAAACATTTTGTGATAAGATAAAAAATGTGGGGCATTTGATGATCAACTATTAAGAAATGTACGAAATGAAAAACAAGGAAAAATTGAAAAATTTATATTTTTCAAAGAAAAAAGATCCGAAATCCTGATTATAACATGATAATTAATTACTTACTTTACTTAATAAACAAATAATTCTTTTTTTTTTTTTTAAAGTTTCACTTTGGTACACATTTGAGTTCTCATTACTCTCATACGAGTATGGTTTGAAATCTCTGCGTATGAAATGAAACTATAAAATTAACACCTGATTTTTTATTGGGATCATTGATAACAAAAAGTAAAAAGGAAAAAAGTTCGATCGAAAAAGAGAAATTAAAAATCTTTTTTTTTTTTTTTTTTTAAAAATAAATAATTAATATAAATTAAACTGTTAATTTTTATAATTTATAATTAAAAATATGTAGATTATAGATAAAATAAGGCGTCCATTTTTTTTTTTTCTCAAAAAAATTTCTTTTCGTAAAAAATATAAAATAAAATTGTGTTTTACAATTTTTTTGAAAAATTTTATTATNTAAAATATTTTTAAAGAAATTTTTATCATTTTTTTTTTTTTTTTTCTTAGTTGATCATAAAAAAAAAATTTTTTATTTCAATATATTTAATCCATTTGATTGTCACAGTACACTGCATATAATCTTTGAAAACCAATTTAATTGTGCTACATCAGATGACATTCTTTGATAAGAAAAAAAAAAAAGCGTGAGATTTCTCTTTGAGTAAAACGCCAATAAAATTTAGTTATATGGGAATATTTTATCCAGTGAGCGTGGGGTGCACCTAAACAATAACAAAAATTGTACCACCGTCCTCTGTGTACTCATTTAGTTTTATCTGTATATATATTTTTTTTTTATTATTCTCGTTGTTACCTCTATTTATCTATATATATATATATATAAACAGGCGTCCATTTTTTTTTTTTCTCAAAAAAATTTCTTTTCGTAAAAAATATAAAATAAAATTGTGTTTTACAATTTTTTTGAAAAATTTTATTATTTTTATCCGTCAAAGCCTCTGGGTTTTCTTACACTTTGGTCTACAAATAAGATCAAAAAAAAAAAAAATAAATTGTTTACGCCGTCATAACATTTTTTTTTATCTATATCTTTATTCTCTTTTTCACAAATGTCAACTTTCGTTGCTCCACAAGTGAGACCTGAAGTTACCCGTTCACAAACCTTCCCAAGACGTCGTCGAAGAGATACTTTTGTTGAAAGATTACTTAAAGATCCTATGTTACAAACTATGGCTGATATTGGTAAACAAGAAGGTGTTGTTAAACCGCTTCCCGCGCCACAACGCGCAAGAACCATAAATATTGCCGAATTTCAACAATATTATCGTAATTTTCAAGAGGGTAATTTCCATCAGTATCTTGGTACGATTCAGAGTAAAATATAATTTTATTTTTTAATAATAATATTTTTTATATCGTAATATTTCTCGGGACATTTTATTTTCTTTTATTTTTTTTTTTTTCTCGGTTTATTCTTTTTTTCTAATGTTTTTTTATTATTATTATTATTATATTTTTTTAACCAAAAATATAATGTGGGGGAGGAGAAGGATTGCATTATTTGGAGGTTCAAAATTAATAGACAATTATTTTCACATATATATTTTTTTATCTCATTCCTTTCTTTAATGTGAGGATCTTTGCACTTGTACATAGGAATTTTTTTTTT